CAAAAGGAATAAGATGCAAAGATGAGATCATAGGATGAGTAAAATGCAAAGAAATCTACGTACTCGCGGCCAGAACCCGAAATTTTACGAGCGTCCATGAACTCGATGTGAAGCTGAATAAGCGTGAGATGCTGGAGATGCACCAGACGCGGGACAAATCGGACAGCTGTCGGAATGAACACGCGCCGAGATCATACTTCGACAAAAATTTCTGACAAAGTAATCATCCGTTGGAAAACCAGGAGACTTTAATTCGGATGTACATACAGCTTGGAATAATTCGGGTCGAGTAACATTTTAAAAATGAAAAAAAGATACTAGAGAAAAAAGTAATTTTGTAATCAAGAGTGTTTCGAGTTTCTTCCTTCTCTAATTTTTCTTCAGCTTTTGCAATGTTTTTCGATTTATTTTAATTAAATCTCTAATTTATGATACTATATAGTTCCATTTCTTTTTAAAAAAGAATGTATAATTATGCTAATGTTGTAATATTTTAATTCTAATATTTATTTAGTTATTTCGACGATCGAACTTAATAAATTAAAATTGATATAAGGTAAAACTGCATATAAATATAAATTCCGCTAAAATTCGTATTCGGCTTACAATTAGTCAACCATCCCTACCAGCCAGCCCTACAAGCCAAAGTCAATAGGTAATATTGCCTGTTTAGAACGAGCCAGCCGACCGTGGAGAATGCTCTCCTCATTCAAAATGAAGCGCTGGGCCACCCTCTGCATGCATTTCCGTTCCTCTTTTCGTTCGATCGCCGTGTTTGTTGTAATCCGCAAATTTTATCTAATTATGATAAATATGTAAATATTATAAAGTAATAGCGTTGATTCTTATACCTAATAAAATTGGTCGATTTGATAGAAAGAGACTAATGAAAGAATAAAAGAATAGATTATTTTCATTTACGTATATGATAGCAACGACTGATTATTTAGAAACAATATAATTTATTTTAAAAAATGACAGATTTGTATTCTACACAAATTCAGCATGCTAATGTCTCATCATCTTCAATAAATTTAATTAAATTAAATTTAAAAAAATAAAATTTTACGCTGCATTTGCGAATATATATATATTAGCAATGTGATAAACACGCATATTATGAATATTTCTACGTATATAACAATATAATAAATCAATATTAATCATCATTGAAATATGTAATAATTGAAATAAAAATAAAATATGAAGATAAATAAATATAATCAATCTTTATAAAAAAATTTCAAAGAAAAAAATGACAATATTCTCAAGTATTCTAAGAACGTTAGTAAAATTTTATTATAGCAAATTATAGTGATATATTCTTATTATTATTTTTATAATTTTAGAAAGTAGCTAACAAAAAATTCAATTATTTATAAGTAATAAATTTTACAAAATTTTACAAAAAGAAAAAGCTTAAATTTAACAATTTAAGTCCAATTATATTATTTATCGTCATTAATCTGATTCTAAAATTATTTATTTTATATATGCACAAATTTTTGTGCTTAAACATTTTTAATAAAAATCTATTACATCTTCTCATTCTAATTTGATAAATATATATTTATTTTGATAAAAGTGATAAAAGTCGATGTGTGTGTTATATTTCACGCTCCCATAACATTCATTTCTTACAAAATGTATAAAGTTCTGCGGTGAAAAATATTGCTTAAGTGCAAGCGGCTTAAGTAGCATATTGCATTTTTTAGTGGCGCATCTCAACCGAGTTTTTAGGCGAAGGCAAGGTTTCTTAAAAGCGCCCATTGTTAACGGGGTTAAACATTAATCTGGCTCCAGGGTAGGCGCTCAATTGGAAAATTTCTCAGCGAGGTGGAAAGTCGCGGACAGAAGACCAGTCCTCTGTTTCCCGTCACCTCATCTTGGAGGGCTTCTCACCGCACTCGACGGATGGAACTTCTTCGAGGACAAGTGATTCGTCTCTGCTCTTTCTTGCGCCTCTCTCCCATACTTGCGTGAGCACACAGTCTCATTTTCAACATACAGCCTTTCTAAAACGAAGACCGCGAAAATGGGGAGAGAGACGCGGAGAAGCGTCTCGCTGAAATTAGAGTAGGACCTCCCCTAGATCTGAAGAGCCCTGGTTCAGCGCACTCATCAACGATGCGACTTCTTCAATTTTCTTCAGCTTTCCTCTACTCTGTGATTTTGCCCATCCCTTACTCCCTTTCCCATCAATTCTATAACCTGCGTTCGTTTCCTATTTTTGTCTATCAATCGCGGTATTACATTGCTCTCCAAATATACTCCAGTAATAAAGTAACTAATTGCTGTAATATTCTCCGCAGAATCGATAATAGTTTCGAACATAATCTTCAATAAGCCATCTCGCAACATATATAGATAGCAATAAGTTACGTTGCGCCGAATTATTACTCGTGATAAACCCATGTGCATTGTACTGAGTTATATAGATACGAATATATTTTGCTGTATGTTATACGCCGTGAGCAATATACTTTGGAATGAACTAATCTAGTATATCGTGGATGTTGTTTGTGATTAGATATTGTTTCACACATATTCTGCATTACTATCTTACTTCAATACAACCCGCGATATATTACATTACGCGCAATATTACGAACAATGTAGGTACTGAAGTAGGTATACTGAATACACCTTAGGTTTAGATCATAATACGTTCAATATAATTTGTTGTAAATTATGTTCGTATTTTGCGTTAAATTGTCTCTTTAAAATATATAATACAACAAAGAATATATTTTGAAATCAGATATAATAGCACGAACCGTGAATATTCTTATTAACATTTCGAATACATCTTGCTTTAAGTTATTTTGTTTTAATATAGTTTACTATAAGATTATTTATCAGAATATTTCTGATATATATTGGCACTTAAGAAAAAGATAATTATTATATCTCAAATTCATGCGCAATAAATTACACTATTCTAAATATATTTTACGATTAACCATTTCATTTCAAATATATATATATATATAATGATACTTTTTCCTGAATAAAATTTTTACAAACTTAATATAAAAATATTTGTAAAAAATAATTTCATCGCTATAAAAAAAATCATCCTACAAAATATATTTTGTAACAAATTATTTCAATAACCAATATCGCTTCGAATGGAAACCACGACGAAATTACCTACGGTAGAATAGTTCTCGCGATTTTCGCACGAACATAATTTGCAAAAAAATTACCATTCTCTAAATAAACATTTATTGCAATCGGCTATCTCACTCCAGCGTACTATTATGCTCCGAATTATCTTGCCGCGACTCGCGAGTATAACCTGTGCAATAAACAACTTCAGTTGAAACATATTTCGCGCATATATATCACGAATACGATCGGTGGAGCGGAAATGGAAGCGCAATTAATAGAACGGTTGGAAATATTCATTGATATGAATTCCTCGTTATACCGCGCATTAATTCTTGCCGCTTCTCTTGAAGAGAAGGGCAAAGGCAAAGGGAGGACAGACGAGAGGAAACCAAGACGTCACGAGAGGACGATGCGGCTGCCGATGCACTCGTAGCGAATGACTGGGCTCTCCAAGATGTTGACGTTTAAGCGCCTACTTGAAGAGGTGGTCTTCTTCAACGGAATCGTGTCGCGTTCTTCAATCTTTCACGGAAGCACCAGACTATAACGATCTTTTCGTCGAATGCGCGCTGCACCGTTTTCTATCTCATGAATACTATGTTTTGCAACAACATCCGCGATTAAGTTCATCATGGTAGATTAAAATAATTTTATCTCGATTTTAGTTCTGTCACAATTTATCTCAATAGTGTTTGAATTTATATTTACTTTATTTTTATTTTATTTTTATTTATTTATTTTATTATTTATATTATCACTACGCTCTGATAATAATATGATAAATGTCTTTCTCTCACTTTAAAAGGGAGAGAGAGTCTCGCGCTTAAAGTCAAAATAACGTTGGTGCAATCGGATCTAAATGATACATATTATTACGAACTATATTGTAAAGTATGAATTTAAATAATTCTTTTTTAATATATAACTTTGATTTCTGAAGCCGTTTTGTCCATAAAAAAGTATCCTACTTTGTAAAAATTATAACTATAAATAAGATATGTGAAAACAATTATACCCATTCAAATTTTATCTGCGTAAGTTCTTTTCTTTTTCGTTCCTATTACTAATAGCAGTATTTTTAATAATAAATATTTAATAAAAATGCAATTTGTTAATGATAAAATCATAATATATACATGTGTTATAATCTAGGAAGATCTATTTATTTATATAATGTCTATTTACACGCCAAATATATACGTTATATAAATTCGAATATTACGATTTGTAATTGTAGCAATTATAACTACACTCTGTATATATAATTGTGCAATACAGTTATATCGAATATTCCAAGAATCGTTGAAAAAAGCAGATAATACAAATGATGATTCCAAAATCGATCTTAATGGAACGAAAAAAATACATAAATCAAATTATATTATGCAATATTAAAATCAATGATATTTTATCGAATTTTATAAGAAAGTAGTTCTATGTTGGATAGAAAAATAGGACGTACTATTTCACATACTTCAAATTATCAGAATTATCAATATGAATTTATCATTATAGCTTTCAAATTTTACACAACATAAATTACATACATACGTAATTAACTCTTATATTAGTATTCACAATTCAAGGGATATTCAAGAAATATTTTCTTCAATTACCTCGTGAAAATTTGTTTATAATAAATGTTTTTCACAGCCTTACATAATTTTAAGTAACATATTCTCATTTTTCGAATTTTTATTTTCAAAATGAAACAAAGATCGTTCAATTACATTAATTTTAAGCAATGTTATAGATATTACTTTAATGTATACTGGAGGCACGAATACCGATTATGAAAAAAAGGACAATTTCTTAAAGACATTTTCTTAAAATTTCAATCTAGAGTCACAATTAATACAAATTAAAAAGATAAATCCTTGACTCACCGGAACTCGTGAATTGGATGTGACAGAAAATGGAGCTCCTCAGCAACATACATGACCGATCATTAAATCGTCCTCCTCCTTCCACGACATCGTTCCATGCAAGTGCATCGCTAAAAGTCACTCGACCGCTCTCATGCCGACTGCACAACACATTCGCGAATTCACGATTGCAGGCTACGGGATTCCGCAAGATTACCGGGAGCGCGTGCGATCCTCGGCGTCCGAACGGCGGGATATTCGAATCTTGAACGACTTTACGACAACGCGCGGCTCACTTCGCGCCGTTTGTGAGTTGCGCTCGCCTGGCGCGCCACGACGCGCCGAAATAATTCGACGCGTCGCCCCGAAATAATTTCAAACTCTCAAATTCGCGGTAAAAAAAAAACTAACGGCTCTCGCGAACGAAATGACCGCGGAAAAATTCGGGTGCCGACTACCCTTTGATCTTCGATACACGTCGCTTGATCGTTCCGTTATTAGAAAGAGCCAAGGTTAAAGGAATACGTTAATTCACCGACGCGAATCTGAATCCGTTACGCCGCGCCGCGACATGGGACATGATTCAGGCGAAGATTAAATGCACGTCTGGCGACTCGTCAAGTTGTCAGTGCGCCACGAAAGTGGCGCGTGTAACGTACGCGACACAAAGAAATGGACGTCACTAGAGCGTCACACGAGTTCTCAATGAAAACACTGAAATCACCGTACCTTGTTCTCGCGTCGCCGATGATAATGCGTTTCCGAGCACGATGACGGTGCGGCGCGGCGGTTTTCTTTCTCATCAAGACTCAGAGTCACTGCAACTTCACGTGTATCGCGAAGTTGCTCGGATGAAAAGCGAAAAATCACATGACACACTCTAGAGTGGCAAACTTCTCGATACACGATGAGGAAGGATATTCGGTTTCTCGTGCACTCGTGTATTTGAGAAGCGATATATATCGACGTCGTCAAGCAATCGCGAGGTCCGAGCGCGCAGTGCCGTGTTGATCGCGGTTTCGCGGGCTTCTCCCTCTCTTTCACCTCCACTGGTACGTACATACGAGATATACACTGATGCGCGCGTTCCGGCGGCTGCGCGTGCACTGCCTTGTGTTCAGTTCCCGTTCTGATACTCCCCCACCCCCCACCCCCACTCCCACTACCTTCACCCGGGCCGGCCGGCCGGCCGCGGAAGCGAGTTAGCGAGCGCGTACGGGACCCTATTCTCCATCTCCCTTTCCTCGACCACGTTGTTTATCTCTCGCTCTTCGTCTGGCTTATATACGGCGGCGTAACCGTCTCCGTTTTCCATAGCTTCCTTTTTCCCCCTCGCTCTACAGCCGACCACGAGTCTGTATCATGTGCATGCGTCCTCGCAACGTTCCGGAATCCACCAGCCCCTTCGCAACGGTGCACAAACAGCGCTCGAAGAGGATACATGTCTGGGCATTTTCGAAAGCGGTCAATTTCCTTTAAAAAGTCTGCAAATCACACACTCGCTGGAGAAAAATCAGTGGAGTATCTCTTTTTGAGAAACGAATTTCATAAAATTTATATAATATCAATAATGTAAATTTAATACTGAATTATGAGAGATATTTAATAACAATAGTAAATATAACAATAAATTGACGGGCGATTGAGAGCTAGAAATAGGCGCAGTTATTAAATGCGTATAATTGACAAAAGTATATATTCTAAAAAAGATTTTACATTAATTTCGCAAGAAATTTCGCAAAAATTAATATCAAATATTTCGGTTTCATTCGAGCCATCATCAGCAATGTCAAACAATGGATGTAAGCATTATTCGCATCTTCATATTATAATATCAAATTGTACAATTTGAGTTATTTTTATAATATTTTAATAATTTCTATAATTTCTATAAGACACCACTGTCAAAGTGACGACATGTTGAGAAGAAGCAGTGGAATAACAATGGAATAAATAATTCAAGAAAATGCATTAAGAATTCGAATTTAGCTTATTATTTACTGAGTGCATACGTTAATATGGACGTTGTTTACTTTGAAATTAATTATAAAATGGATCGTTTTATGTTTTGAGTTACTATTGCTCTTTCGATATGTAAGAATATATATTCTTTTCAACATCATGCTCGTCACTGCTAATATCTACAATGTTTTATAATTCATTCGAAAATGTTGTGATTCGATTTATCTCGCTCACAACACTCCTGGAGTCATTTTATTCTTGTTGTTTGTCAAATCTTAAACAAAGACACTCACACGTGTATATGTATATACGAAGGATTTGAAATTCGCAACGTCAACTTCACACCGACGTGCAAACGGTAATTAACTCCCTATGATGTTAGCTAACACAGATTATATATGTTCCGAGTATCATCAAACAATGACCAATTGTCATAAAATAGCATAATTAATCAGAAAATTTATTCGTGTCTCTCAATTCCAAATTATATTGCACGCTTCGAACGTACAAATAACATGCATTAGCGTATGTTAAGATCGTTTTTAGAAATTGGAGTGAAATAAGGTAACTAATATTGAGCAATACGACTGATCACGATCGCGTATTAATTAATTGATGCAACGGAAAATTTGTGAAAATTCAAAACATCAACTGCGTGGAATTCTCTCGTGAAAAGAAAATCATACAAAAAAACCATCAAATAGTCTCACCAAAAATGTATATTATGGCAAAATGCTATAAAACTAATGCAAAGTCATCGCGTAAGTCAGGCAATTAACATTATAAACATTATAAACAGGCAGATGTGCAAATCTGTATACAGAGAGAAAAATATTTGGTATTTGTGACTAGTTGCACGTAACAAAATTATTATATATCAATTAGATGTGACCATAAAAAATTATGATTACAAAATCCATTTGTATGATTATTACTATAATATTAGTAATAATAACCTTATGTGTATAATTCTCTCAAATATGGAAATTCTCTCAATGAAAAAATTGTATTATAAATTATAATAATATGAACTACTAATATAGTAAAATTTTAAGATGTGAATAGTAAATAAAAAATAATCATTTTAATCTTAAGAAATTTTAGCCATTGATCGAACACATTGCATAATATTAAACTCTGGTGATACTTGAACTTTTAATCAAAAAGACTTTCATTGTAGTGTTTTGAATCTTGATATTAGCTATGAGAATAATGAATAAATAGTTCAGGTTTTTCGTTCAAAATTTTAAAGTTGGGCTTGAGAACTCCTCCATTCTTACACTCAAAGCGAAACAAGTCTCGTCGTTCAAACCGTACAACTTTTGTATAAAATATTCTTCTCAAAAATGTTTTCTTTATTCAACTGTATACGGACTCTCGATCCATCTTGTATAACATTCCTGAGTACTTTATAGTCGTCTTAATAATTAAAAAAAAAAACGGTATTTTTGACGCATTGATATTTTGCGAATTGATGTGTTTGCGAATTATGGGAACACACAAATCTTTCTCCACTGGCATTAAAAAGAATATCGAAAGAAAAATTTCAAAATTGCGCTACGAAGACAAGAAATGACGATAGAATGCTTAACGTTACGTACGTACGATAACGATTTACGTACGCGCGAAGGGCCTGCTACGTGATCTTCAGATTTCCCGCTCGAATATCATTGAGCCTCCCTCTCTGATCTCTTATGCCCAGACGTTTCTCCATATACACGTTTTACGCATACACCCGCGCGGAAAAACATGAGCCCTGTCTCGTCACGTCAACGACGTAAGACACGCTTTGCAAACGACCAAGAATCCCATATAAAATAAATTCCACACTCACGCGTGACTCTAGCAATCCTATCGTATTCTTCATTTTATTTTATTCCCGAACGTGGTAGATTACTTTTTCGACAATTAATTTAACCATGTTACATTATTGGACGTTCATCATCGAGAGGTATACTCAAATATTTTATAATTATAAACGTGAAATCAGTGCTAGGATATACGTTCCGTTAAATCTACGACAAATAAGCGCGTTATCTCCTGTTTAATATTTTGTACAATGTTACGATATTTGACAACAAACATTTAGAAATTTTGGAAGATTTCATTTTATTATGTATGTGAAAAGAATGATTTTGCTCAAGTATCTAAAACTTTAACTAGACGGATCTAAAAATAAAGAGGACATTAAAAATAAGCTGACCTTTTTCAATCAAAAAGTTACAAGTCCAAAGAATAGTGTTTTTTTTTTGTAGATTTTAATTTACTTCCCTATGTGTAGTTCTTATAATATTGTATAACAGAAATAAGATGTTATTTATTTCTTACACTTTTTTTGTTAATAACTATTTAACGGACGAGCGACGGTTAGAATCTTTTAAAGATCATGATCTTGACAACATATGTCAATGCTATCACCTCCCTCCCAATTGAAATATTTATCACTTTACTATCACATCTAGGAAATCGTCTTATTATATTTAAAAAATTTTCTTTTACAAAGTAAAAAAACTATTTCTTTTTAAGCCTAAAAAATCAGCCTTTTCTTAACATTCTTCTTTGGATTATCAAACTAATTACAGTAATGTAAAATGCTCAAACTAATTGCTAGAATGTCAAAACTTTTTACAGGATCTTTTCGTATATTAACTTTTGCTCCCATGCGAGCAATAAGAACTTTGAATAGCAATCGTTCCGCAGGCATATATCCACATTAGTAATGCGCCGTTGTGGAAATTGTGAAACGTATAATATCAAACCTGAGCGACGCAGCGCGGCGACGCGTTAATCCCAGAAGAAATCCGTCCGTAATCGAAGAAGACAATGTGTAGGCTTTAAAGGAGTCAACGGGGTTTGCGATACGCATATATATTATGCGGGATTGAGTATCGGAGAGTAGCTCGGATATGTACCTAAGTATATATTGAGTATCGAACGTGCCCTTGAGGGGTAGTACACGGCCGAACGAGAGGCGGAGGCCAAAGACGAGAACGAAACGGAGGAAAAGAGAGAATCGCAGAGATGGAGAAGGAAGGAAAAAGCGATCGAGATTGAATTATGGCTCGCGGCTTAAACGCCGGATTCAAATCGATCTCATATATCACATTA